AATGCCAGCAAGCAAGTTTTTCCACTTAGATCTAAGGCGAGAGTCCATGGGCCCAGGGCCAGGGCAGCGCTTCGAAAACAAATGAGACTTGAGCGGGGACCCCGTCGAAATCATCGCCATGCAATGAACGCAAACATGCAAAGTAGAGAAGTCAGAGCAAGCCAGACCGACCCTCGAATGCCTCTTGGTCTTGACTTTGTCGAAATCCCAGCCCGCGGGAGGACCAGGGCACTGCCTGGGGGGAGGGGTGGGCCGAGCTCCAAACCTGAAGGCAAAATCGGCCCCGACTGCCCTGACGCAAGTAGTGCACCTCCAGAACCTACCTATCCTGGCGAAAGAACACATGTCTGGAACAGAACTAGTCTTGGAAACCTCTGGCTTCTCATACTCCCCCTCGCAAATGTCCGCAAGCGAGGGGGGGCGGGGAAGCAACTTGAGCGCCAAATTGAAAAAAAAACACTAGTGTTTCCAATGCGGAGATCAGTCTCAGCGAGAACATCATGATCCTTCGGACGCAAATCTGACGCGGCCTTCGCAGCGCGGCCAGCAAGAAATTGACCGGTCCTGCGGTGGGTCTCTGCCTCCGGCAAGCCAGCTTCACCCGAACTCAAATGCGCCTTGACCTTGACAATGCCATCGAGAAATTTGCGCGCGTCGCCAGCCCTAGCCTGCGCAACGCGCCCAGTGTAGGCCTTCCGAAGATGAGCGTGCACACCTTTAGCGGCGTTATAATATGCAACGACATTGGCGCAATCAGAAAAAAGGTCGACGGCCCCGTTAAACGCATGACACTGCCAGTGAAAACAGAGCATTCAGCTGCCTGGGGCGACTGTCTGAGAGGCGGGTGCACTGGGCAACGGATCTCGCAAAAACGCACCCCGTCCTCAAGAGCGCTGCAGCACCGAGCGGCGCGGCGCAACTCTCTGATGGGATGCCGCGTGCAAGAGCCGTCTACAAAACTATCACCTTCCAGCGATGCTCGTTTTCAAGCGGATCAACGAACCACTCGGCTACCCAAGACCCTCCCGCCAGAGGCCCTGGATGCGCGTCCCCGGGATGAGGCAGACCTCCCCGGGGGACAGAGAAAAGCATACTACGGTTCGTAACATGGTCGTCGATGGTACCGAGGATGTTCTGACCAACAATAGCAAGGCGCTCATCTTGAATGACAGGACACCACCGTATCCCGTGGTACAACGTGTCGCAGCATCCGCAGCCCAATGGGCACTCCTGCGGGTATTTGTAGCCTTTCCCGTTGGCGTAAATCCGAATCCAGAGGGCCTCTGAGGCCGCGGCCCGAAGGGCTCATTTCTCCCGGGGGGGGTTACTGTTTGATCCTCAGATGCTGGGCGACGATATCAGAACAAACTCTGTCGGGAAAACCAAACCGATCTCCGACGCGGCGTTCAAGTTGGCGAAACACAGCGCCTCGAGCAGGAGCCCCAGCAAGCCTGGAGACAACAAAACGAGCGAAACTTCGCACCCCTGATCAGTCACAAGGGTCGCGGAATTCTTAGCAGTCCAGCCGAGGCGACGAAGGGGGTGCCGAGAGGCCGACACAGGGCCCGCAACCGAACGCCCAGTTTTCCAGGGCTGGCCGGACACACAATCTGGAGAGGTTCGGAGCGGATGAAAACTGAGGGTGGAGGGGTGGGAACTCATTCTCGCGTTCCAAATCTCCAAGGCCCGACGGAGGGCGGGGAAAACCTGGATAAGCCACGCGGGGTCTTCTTCGAGGAGAAGTGCAATGGAGAGGCTGCGGCCCCCAGCACTAGGCTTCAGAACCGAAGCGAAACTGCGTTTGAGACGAAGGAGCTCACCGTCGCTTATGCCATGAACCTCGGGCGCATGCGCAGCGGCGGGAAGGGGGCCAGCCACCCAGATGTTCATATATTTCCTACCAAGGGTTCGACTGAGCTTTTTGGTTCGCCCCGCCCTAGCCCGAGCTCCAGCGCAGCGCTTCTTGGCCTTGGCGCCCAGACCCTTGTGTCTGAGCGGCTTGCCGACGCTGTCATCAGCGCCGAGGTTGGGAGCAGCGCAGACAACAAGGCCAATGAGAGCCGAGCCGAGCCGCCCCCGGATGGATTGCCCCGCGATTTGTCTAGACGTCATGAGGCAGGCCTTCGAGAGTGGCGCATCTGTCCTCCATCACGACGCGCTTTAGCTGCAAACTCCTGTCCACGATGCCATTGACGACGTCATCGAACGATCCGACTGCGTGCAATCCATTATCACCGGTATACAAGGGATAGGTAACACTGGGCGGCCATATGATGCTGTCAAGACCGTTGACCGAATTCACGCGGATGAACGCAGCGGCGAAAGGGCAACCTGCTACGACACCCCGAATCGCGTAGAGGGCGGCGCTCAGGTTGCCGCCCAGGGAGAGGTGCCGAGGAGCTCGGTAGGCGTGACACGCCAACCTAGCGATCGCCCGGGGGGATCCGAGCGACTGGCACCTGCGCAGCACTTGTTCCATATTCAAACTTTCGCAATATTAAAGGAAACCCCATAGGAGCGCGGCCGCACACTGCCCAGCGGCACCCCCCCTTCAGACAGGAGGGCCTGTCACCAGACGGCATCGCTGGCCCCCGCGCACTTCCGAGCCGCAAACCAGGGACGGACATTTAACTTCCTAAGCTTGAGCCAGAGGCCTTCGGAGTCGGCCCCAGAGCCGATAGGGGGCAGTTAAAATACCGATGGGTCTATGCCCTCCTATGGGCTTGGCAAGCAGCATCGAGACAATGACAAACATTTGGGCGGGCCAGATGGAGCTGATCTCAATGGTGCGAAAAATCTCGAGCAGACACTCCAAAGCGTCATCAGGTAGAAAGCTGAAGTGTCGCAGATGGAAACCGCCGATGCTCACCGCGGACCCCCCCTTGCACCCCCTGCCTACCTCCCTAAGAACACTGACATCTGGCAGATCGATCTCGAGGGCCTGCTCGAACTCACCAGGAGAGGGAGGGGCCGAGAGCCCGCTTCCCACAAGGCTTTGCACCGAGCGGCTTCCGAGGCCAAGGTAGACGGAGGATCCGACGCGATGACTCGATCGTCCTCAAGGGCGGTAGTGGGGGGCCGAATCTTGGGGGCTCTCGTGACCTGCGCTTGATCCATTGGCTCCAGTCGTCTCTACCTTTGGTCTTGGCCACCAAGGATTCGGCTTCCACAGCAGACAAGATACGCGACGACAGGTCCCTAGCTTCTGTCAGCGAAGATGAACCTGGTGCAGCTCTGCTGGCGAAAGCACGCACCCGGCGAAAAAGAGAGACATGTCTGCCCTGGTTCGCAACGACCGGGGGGGAGGAGCGAAGACGGCCGCCCTCGCCGCTTCGACGTCCTTGGAGCTGCAGGGCCGCTGCAACAGGCGACGAAAAATCTGGAGCCCCGAGTGCGGCCATCGAATGGCGGACAAGTCGGGGTGCCTAGGGCCTTTCATGTCCATCTCGGCAATGGACTTCCAAACCGCGCCGGGGTCTGCGCTGCGGGGCCCCGGGACAGAAGGGAAGCACCAGCGGCGAGAACCTGCTCTTTTTCCGCGAGGTCGGCCCAGGACCCATGCATCCGAGTGAGGCTGTCCAAACTCATTATTCCTGGCCTTGTCGCGCAACTCGCGCGGCCTGATCGAGCTCGCCTCGAAGCCCGCCGAAATCAGCGGGCGCCGCTTTTGCGGGGCCGATCGCCCGACCCAGGCCGATCCTCGGCGGCTCTCGGAAAGCCGCGGCTCGTAAAGACGCGAGTTGGGGGCAAAAGGGCGAACGCGCAAGGGGGCGAGGCGCGGGGCCCGGGCCCCCGACCACCCCGACCGCCTTGACAGCCTTATTAAGGCCGCGGCTCACCTGGAAGCAACCGATTAAACGCTTTCTCCCCGCGGTCGAGCACGCGCCCCGCCGTATCTGGGGCAAGGAGTTGCCCATGAGCGACATCTACAAAATCGGAGTCCTGGACGAAGGGGGGCCCCGCGTTGACGCCGCCGCCCACGAGCCGCGGCAATCCCGACGCCGACGCGAATTGGCCCGCAGATCTTAAAACATCCAAGTTCAATCCGGACAACCCAATGCCGCGCAGAAGGTCGATGCTGGCGACGCGCGCTGCAGAGCCTCCCGGGGCTTGGACAACTCCCCCGGCGGCTCGGCCGCTGAAGAGATCGCGTGCCCCCACGGGGTGGAGGCCCAGGAAGGCCTCGGTAAAAAATTGCACCCCCCACTCGCGCGCCGCCATTCGGCCCAGGGAGAGCGGGGCCCCACAGGGCATTCCAACCCTGGCGGAGGGCCCAGGCAGACGCGCGATCGACTTCCTCGCAAGTTCGGATTTGCCCTGACCCCCGGCCAGTGACATTGGCAGTCGCGAAAATAAAAGAAATCTGATCGGGATCCTGGGGCGACCCCAGGAGTGGCGAGGCGGCGAAGCTGGCGCCTACGGGCGCGCACGGGCCTGCATGAGAGCCAAGGAGACCGAGAGATGACATGATGGCTTTAGAACGAGCATTCACATAACTTGAAGCCCTCCAACATCTCCCCGAAGCCTTCCCCGCGGCCTTCCCGACCCTGTCAGTAGCCGTGCTAAAGTTGCGACGGGGCGCCAGGTGCGGCAGCTGCTGGACCGCCCGACGCGATCTCCGCCGCCCGCTCTCACACTGGTGGGCCAGCCGCCGCTGCAGCTGCTGGCTCAGACGCGCCTGAAGCGCCCTTGGAAGAGACAGGGGCAGGGTCGGGGGCCTGTGGGTGAGGTTCGGTGTTCTCTTTATCCCCAGAGTCATCCTCAGTGCGTCTACGTTTAATCCAAAGCCTGCTAAGAAGTGCCTCGTGCTCCTCCTTGGCCTTAGCTGCGGCCTCGAGTGCTTGCCTGAAAAGAAGGGGGGGGGGGGGGGCTCCTGGGGGCCCTTCTTGAGCTCCGTGACGAGTTTGTCGGCCTGCTCCTTTCCCTCCGTTGAAAGACCGATGCCGCCATCCTCCGCCTCATCGAGAAGACCGCCCAATCTGCTGAGGGTTTTCTGTCGACGGTACCAACGAGAACAAACCGAACTGACCATGGGGAAAATCTGGCAGGACTTGGCTCATCTGAAGACTTAACCTGTGCGTGTAACTGATCGACCAACTGTTTATGGAGATCCTCAGCTTGCTGACATTCAGACTGAAGGCGCCCAACTCTGGCTCGCTGTTCTTCCACTGCTGCCTGCATCTCCACGAACTTAGATACTGCCTTAGCCAGGCAGTCCTCTGAAGCCCGCAGAGAGTTGAACGCCTTGTTGATATGCTGCTGCATCGGCTGCTGCTTGTTCGCGGCACTCTTGTAGGCGAGGGCTCTCTGATAGCTGTCGGCAGACTTAGTGTTCCCCGACCTCTTGAGCATGCTGATGAGGGGCTCGATCTCGGACTCCTCCTGGTCTTTGATGTCAGCCTGGGTGGCCTGACCAGGAGGCTGAAGACCAGGGGGAGCAGGACGATGCACACCACCAGCACCTTGAGATGCCTGTGGGTTGGGCCACGCCCCTTGCGGAAGTCGAACTTGCTGTCCTGGGTCCGCACGCGGGGCTCCACAGTGGCGACGCGCCGTGGTGTTGGCCGCGTTCTTCCTGCACGGGCACTGGGAGCATGCCCAACGGCTGTGCAGCGGGATGAACAGGGGGCCGTGACCTCCTGGTCCGAAATCGCCGCAGAGTTGACCTGGAGGTAGTGGGACGCGAACGAAGGGCGAGCTTGCACACATCCCTCCTCATGGCCCCTGCCGGAAACCATTCCATCCATCGCCTCCTTTCCCAGAGGCCCAAGGAGCACCTGGGAACGCCATGGCTCGGTGATGATTGCGGGATGTCTCCACCAGCGCACAACTTAATGGAAAACGGGGCTGCTCCAACAGGAACTGACAAAGCAAGAGGAAGCCTCGTCTGGCCAGGCAGATGAGGGGCGTAGAAACTGGGGGGCGCAAGTCCCCCTTGCCAGTAAGGTCAGGCCCTGAGCAGAAACGCTACGGACTTGAGCCAGAATGGCTACGGACCGGAATAGTAGTGGTGCTACTAGTAGCAAGAGTAGCCGTAGTAGTCGTAGTCGTAGTCGTAGTCGTAGTCGTAGTCGTAGTCGTAGTAGTAGGAGTAGTAGTAGTAGTAGTAGTAGTAGTAGTAGTAGTAGTAGTACTAGTAGTACTAGTAGTACTAGTAGTAGTAGTAGTAGTAGCTGTTGTAATCGTAGTCGTACTAATACTAGTAGTAGTAGTAGTAGTAGTAGTAGTAGTAGTAGTAGTAGTAGTAGTAGTAGAGTAAGTAGTAGTAGTAGCTGTTGCAGTAGTAGTAGTAGTAGTAGTAGTAGTAGTAGTAGTAGTGGTGGTAGTAGTAGTAGTAGTGGTAGTAGTAGTAGTAGTCGTAGTCGTAGTAGTAGTAGTAGTAGTAGTAGTAGTAGTAGTAGTAGTAGTAGTAGTGGTAGCAGTAGTTAGTAGTAGTAGTAGTAGTAGTAGTAGTAGTAGTAGTACTAGTAGGAGTAGTAGCAGTAGTAGTAGTAGTAGTAGTAGTAGTAGTAGCAGTAGTAGTCGGTCGTCCCAGAACTAGTAGAATTCGCCTGGTAGAAAAAATAGTAATCGTAGGAGTAGTAGTCGTAGGAGTAGTAGTAGTAGTAGTAGCAGTAGTAGTAATACTAATCGTAGTAGTAATAGTAATAGTAGTGGTACTAGTAGTAATAGTAGTAGTACTAGAAGTATCAGCATTCGTATCACTCGTAGAAGTAAATGTAGCAGTAGCAGTAGTCGCAGGTCGAAAATATTTGAAATATTATATTAGTAGTCGTAGCTCTCCCGGTAGCCATTGCAGAAGCAGTCGTAGTAATCGTAGTAGTAACAATAATAGGGGCAGTAGTACTAGTAGTAGTAGTAGTAGTAGTAGTGGTAGTAGTAGTAGTAGTAGTAGTAGCAGTAGTAGTAGTAGTAGTAGTAGTAGTAGTAGTAGTAGTAGTACGTGGTAGTAGTAGTACGTGGTAGTAGTAGTACTACTACTACTACTAGTAGTAGTAGTAGTAGTAGTAGTAGTAGCAGTAGTAGTAGTAGTAGTAGTAGTACTAGTACTAGTAGCAGTAGTAATAGTAGTGGCAGAAGTAAATAGTACTGGTCGCAGTAGTAGTCGTAGCAGTAGTAGTAGTAGTAGTAGTAGTAGTAGTAGTAGTAGTAGTAGTAGTAGTGATAGTAGTGGGACTCGTAGTAATAGTAGTAAACGCAATGAAAGTCGTGCTGATAGCGGCAATCGTAGTAGTAGTAGAACTAGTTCAAAATAATTAGAAGCAGTAGAAGTAGTAGTAGTGGTAAGTGTAGTAATAGTAGTAGTGGTAATGGAAGTAGTAGTAAGAGTAACAATAATGATAATAGTAGCAGTAGTACTAGCAGTAGTAATAGTAGTAGTAGTAGTAGTAGTAGTAGTAGTAGTAGTAGTAGTAGTAGTAGTAGTAGTGTAGTAGTAGTAGTAGTCGTATTAGTAAGTAGTAGTAGTAGTAGTAGTAGTAGTAGTAGTAGTAGTAGTAGTAGTAGTAGTAGTAGTAGTAGTAGTAGTAGTAGTAGTAGTAGTAATAGTAGTAGACGTAGTAGTAGTAGTAAGACGGGATGCGAAAGGGAGGGCGCGGAGGGGAGCCCCAAGACGCGTTTGCCAAATGAACTTTGCACTCGGATACCTCAAATTCAAAGTTGGTAAACTGAATTGTCTTTAGTCGCTATCACCTGCACATGTGTAGGCGTCCATGTTTTTCCATATCTGGTGGTGATGAAAATTACTCCGACGGAAGAACCCCGCATAAGAATCCTCTGGGCGAATCTGGAAAAAGCCATCACCGTCGTCCTCGTGGTTGGTGAGGCGTCCTGGCTGTCTCTTCTGCGTATATTTCCTCTCGCCTTGGCGCGGGCCCCCCTTCCACTCCTTACGTTGTCCCCATCCTCGCCCCCCTGTTTGTTCCGCGCCCCGCCACCTCCTCCCTTCCTGTTGCATGAGCGCGCATGTCGATGTTCCTCGGCGCCGTCGCCGCCACGGCCAGCACAGGCGCGTTCTCTACTGGTCACGTCGCGCAGCCGTTGGGACAACCCCGCGGGCCAGGCTGCCGGGACAACCCCGCGAGCCGCTGGCGCGCAAGACCAAGCCGTTGGGACAACCCCGCGGGCTTCGAGCGAGGCGCAGCCGCGCTCAGGCGGAAGGCAGCACGAAGCCCAGCTCTGCCGCGAGCTGCTTCGCCTCCGCCCTGGACAAAACCGCTCTCTTGTCGAACTCCAGGAGCGCCTTCCGCAGGGACGCCGGCGGCCCGCACTCCAGGAACTCTCGCGGCGGCGGCCGCAGGATCAGCATGTTCCACATGCACGTGGCGCGGGAGAACATGACGTAGAGGTGCAGCCACCACTGCTCGTCCGACATGCCCGTGCGGCCAGCGTCCTCGTCTCTCGCGCAGTCGATGGTGACGCCCTTGCGCAGCGTCTGGCCCTGCGACAGCGTGGAGGTCAGGTAGGACGCGTGCGTCAGGGTGAACCCCGAGCGGCGCACGCTGTGCGCCCCCGAGCTCTGCCATGTGAACTCCCTTTCGCTGGGCCTGAACATCAGCAAGCTCCGCGCCCGCGCCTCGGCCTGGCCGTCGTCGTCGGCGCCTTCGGCGCCCTGTCGCAGCACCTCGGCGACCTGAGGAGCCCAAGGACTTCCTTGTTGCATCCAAAATGTGGCCTGGGAACTGCGTTCTGGCAGCGCGAGAACCCAACATTGACGACAGTTACAGGTTTTGGATGACCCGTTCGGATTACCAACATGATCTGCGGGCCCCATAGGGAGGGGGCTCCCGCCTGAGACTTCCTCGCAGTTCACTTACAGACGAGGCTCCCGCTTGAGACGTCCTCCATATTCAGGCTTGAGGAGCCCAAAATTGACGACCGTTACAGGATTCCGATGACCCGCTCGGATTACCAACATGATCTGCGGGCCCCATAGGGAGGGGGCTCCCGCCTGAGACTTCCTCACAATTCACTCAGAGACGAGGCTCCCGCCTGAGACTTCCTCCAAATTCAGGCTTGACGAGCCCAAAAGTGACGACAGTTACAAGTTTCCGATGACCCGCTCGGATTACCAACATGATCTGCTGGCCCCATGGGGAGGGGGCTCCCGCCTGAGCCTTCCTCAGAATTCACTCAAAGACGAGGCTCCCGCCTGAGACTTCCTCCAAATTCAGGCTTGAGGAGCCCAAAAGTGACGACAGTTACAGGTTTCCGATAACCCGCTTGGGTTACCAACATGATCTGCGGGCCCCATAGGGATGGAGTTCCCGCCTGAGACTTCCTCACAATTCACTCAGAAACGAGGTTCCCGCCTGAGACTTCCTCCAAATTCAGGCTTGACGAGCCCAAAAGTGACGACGGTTACAGGTTTCCGATGACCCGCTCGGATTACCAACATGATCTGCGAGCCCCATAGGGAGGGGGCTCCCGCCTGAGACTTCCTCACAATTTACTCAACGATGATGAGGATGAGGATGATGAGTGGTGGTGAAGATGAGTGGTGAAGAGGATGATGATTGATTGTGAGTGGTGGTGGCGATGATGATGTTGAATGAGGATGATGCCGATGCCGATGATGATGATGATGATGTTCGTGAGCGTGTGAGAGAGTGCGAGTGATGATGATGATGAGTATGTGAGTGACTAAGCATGTGAGAGAGCATCATCGATGATGCTGATGAGGTTGATGATGAGAGAGTGTGAGTGAGTGTGAGTGGGTGTGTGTGTGTGTGTTCCTGTCCTGTTCCTGCGCGGGGTGTCCAGAGAAAACAAGAACCCCACTTTGGATGTGGGGAAAAAAACAAACATGACAAACAACAAACAAAACTCGGGACGGGGGCCAGGGAGTAAAAGTAGTAGTAGTAGTCGTAGTAATAGTAGTAGTAGTGGTAGTAGTAGGAGTAGTAAAACTTATAAAAATAACAACCGCAGCGGTAGTAGTAGTAGTGGTAGTAATAATAACCGTAGTAGTAGGAGTAGTAGTAGTAGTAGTAGTAGCAGTAGTAGTAGTAGTAGGAGTCGTCGTCGTCGTAGAAGAAAAAAAAATACAAGTGGTAGTAAGAGTAGTCGGTACAGTAATAGAAGTCGCAGCAGTAGTAGTAGTAGTAGTAGTAGTAGTACTAGTAGTAGTGGTACTAGTAGTAGTAGTAGTAGTAGTAGTAGTAATATTAGTAGTAGTAGCAGTAGTAGTAGTAGTGGCCGTAGCACACGCGGAATGACAAGTAGCAGCAGTAAGAGAAGTAGTAGTTGTAGTCGTCGTGCTAATGGTAGTAGTAGTAGTAGTAGTAGTAGTAGTAGTAGTAGCAGTGGTAGTAGTAGTAGTAATAGTAATGGTAGAGAAAAGTACGAGTGGTACGAATAATACTACCAGTCGTGGTGCGAAATAGTAATGGTAGTAAGAGTACTAATGAGTTCCCCGTAGCGTTGTTACTGTGTGTACTAGTGGTAGTAATGATAATGACAAGTGTAGTAGCAATGGTAATGGTAGTGGTCATAGCAGTACTCGTTGTAGTAGGTGTAGTCGTGACAGTAGCAGTAGTAGTGGAAGGAGTAATAGTAATGATAGTCGTAGTGGTAGTAGTAGTGGTACTTAGTAGCAGCCGTAGCGATACAATGAATAAAGGTGGTGG